GAATAACACGCAACATGGTTGAATTCTAGAATAAATAAAATGTATAATGTAATAAAATTCAATGCTCAATTTCCTATATTCCTTCATCTCAAGCTAATAATTTTACATGTAACATATCAATGTATGCAGCATATTCTAAGACTTAATTTTATCTCTTGTTATTCTGTAACATAATAACATTTATAAGTACATATTATGAAAATTTTGTTCTCAATGAACGATGAATTAATTCTCATTAATAATATACATACATGCACAGAGATAAATCATTCTTGACTCAATTTACATTTATTTTTAATAAATATGTAATTAAATATCTTTCTTCGCGCAAGTTCTACAATCGACTGAATTTTATATATCTATGCACTATTTTATATATTATTTTATGTTTATACTAAGTTTAAATGTTTATATCACTCATTTCAGATCTTGGATCAGACTTCCTAATTTATTTTAGAAATTTTATCTCTCCTAAAGAATTCTTTCCAAAAATAACACTTATATTAATAAATTCAGTTAGCTTATGTTCTAATATCTAATTTAACTATCTTAACATTTAACGGAAAACGGTACCTCCATTCTATAATTCATCTTTGCATCATTTTCTTCGTTTTTTCTTTTTCATTTTCAACTTTTCTAAGCATACAAGATCTGCTTCAAAATGAGATTATGGTCTTTTATATTAATCTACCATTTAAATGTTTCTAGATATACTATACTATTTGCTATAATTATTCTTCACCAAGGCTCAATTTTTGCTTAATTTCCAATGCAAGCTTGTAACCGAGTTCCGGTCGTCGGTCTCTTCCTTCCACCATAGCCTTCACCTGACTGGAGTTCACTATCACGCCATTGCTGCCTATTACGGTGGCCTTGGTCTTCTCGATGTCGACGAGGTCCACGCCACGACTGCAGTCATCAATCAGTATAGTGCGATAACCGCTGGTGAGCGCATCTACTGCAGTAGCGCCCACACAAACGTCATAGGCCAATCCACAGATATAGATATCGGTGGCGCCTTTTTCTTGCAGCTGTGACGACAGCGTGGTCTCGGTGAGCTTTTTGTTGTCCCAAAACACCGAATACGAGTCGACTTCTGGATTCGTGCCCTTGTAGATCTTGATCGCTTTGTCGATGATCTTCAAGTCCTTGTGGAGCTCGGCACCCCAGGAATCTTGTACGCAATGACGAGGCCACAGGCGTTGCTTCAGCAATGGTGGTCCTTGAAATGTTACTGTGTCGTATACCCGCGCCGATTCTTTCGAAATATTGCTGCTGATGTCTACCTCTCTGCAATAACATTTGCTAATAAATATCAATGTGCAAAGCAGATTTTCTTCCCGTTACTTTCCCGTTGTTTTCTTTATTTCAATTGCTTGCTTCGTACTTTTTATCAATGAATAAAAGTTTTGATACTTTAATAAAAATGGAGCAGTCAAATATATACAATTTAATGTTTTAAGATTTAAACTTATATAGATATATCTTAAGTAAAGATAGAAGTAATAGACTTTAAATTTTGCATTTTGCAATATGTGAGATATAATTACCTCAAGTGCAAATTATCAATGAAGGATACATGGTCTACGGGATGCCAATCCAGGGAATAAAACACTGCATCGAACGGTACAGTTTCCAACAATCGATTAATTGGGTCGATTACTTCCGAACCATCGTGTTGCGCGGCGCATTGCTTTATGTTTAAAGAACCCGTTATAAAATCATTTTGCACATCCACAATTAGGAAAGCGCTTTTGGGACGCGTGCATACTTTGATCCATCGGTTCCAGCACACCTACAAGTTGGACCAATAGAAACAATTTTTTACAAGTATATATATATATATATATAT